ATTACCTAAATAAAATTACAAATTTCTTAAGTAGCCCGTTACCTACTGAGTTTGTCCGTAAAGTAATTATGATTTAATATTAAAATAACTATTCGTTGTAGCCCGACTAGATCGGTAGGAATTAATAAGAAAAATCAAAATAATAATCAGTATGTACGCAGTACGACATCTATCGGTTTAATCGGGGTTGGATGCCTGGATTTCAATTTTTCTAAATGCTTTTGACATTTTGACATTTATTATTATCGTCGTTTACTATCAATTTGAAATAAACTCAACTGGTAATTTTAACGAGAAGTTATGATCGTTATGCTATGGACACTGAAATGCGTTTAATCGAATGTCAATAATAGTTTGAGACAAAATTAATCTTCATGTATACGTAACAGTGGCGTACGGTCAAAACAAGCGAGGTAAGCGACGTATCCCCGCTCAAAAAGGAAAAAAGTAAGTAAAATAAATTAATTTATTATACTCCATTATCTGTATTATAATTGTATAAGAATTGGTAAGAAAATTAATAAATTAATGTCATATAGGTCAGCCCATATTTTTCATAAAAATTCGTACTACACATTTTTTTAATGTACAATGATATACACAGAGCCCCAATCTACCACCTTCCATATAATTATAATTTTTTAGTACAATATCAGTAACAATGTTTAGTAATAGTTATTTTTTATTAATCAAATTTAACATTACAATTAGGTAACTACCAATCTGTTATTATTTTTTAAACTGAAAATAAACTTTTGTCTGGTATAAATCTGAAAACTATTTACAAATTATTAATTTTAATGTGAGATATATATGTATAAGGTTTTCAGATTTCAAAGAAAGAATAATGTCTGCCACCATTAAAAAAAAAACAACTGATCTTGTAGGTTAATGCTTATAGGTCGTAATGTTATAGGTAAACTGATTACTATTGCATATTATAATAACTTAATCTAAATTTAAACGAAATTGTAAGGATGGATGGATGGTAATAATGAACCTACTAATAACTAGGGCAGAGGACATGTAGCGCTAAAAAATCACCAAATATGCACTTAAATAAACAAAATATGCTTTTAAAATATGCATTTTAAAATTAATTTTTTTGAACAAAAAATAAGAATTTTTCTGTAGGTACTTATTATAATGATTACATTTTATTTACAACTTTATTTAACAACTTACAAGTTTTAATTAATTAATTGGGTTTATTTTATGAGTTTTCTTATCTGGATACTAACTTTAGGTATTTTTTATAATAAATAGTAAATAGAACGTGATTGGACGTATGGTCGACTGTCAACTGTTGAGAAACACAGCAATTACTAAAATATGAATATGTCCGATATCGGCGACAGGCGTCCCCGTATCAATATTTTGTGCGTTGAACAATATTATATCATCTATCTATAAACAAAATTAATAACCCAACAATCAATCTAATCGACAACTCTCGAGACGTGTTTTTAGGAAAACCATGATAGGTCTGTGAAAAGTTAAAAACCGTATTAATATTATTATCAAAATTTAAAATAATTTTAAATTAAACGTTTTTTTAATTGTATAAATAAATAAATAATAACGTCAACGAAAAAATATTAATAAAATGATAAATTATTTAAAATATGCATCTAAAGATATAAAATGGAAGAAATATGCCCTTAAAACCAAAACGCAAAATATGCATTTATATGCACAATATAATTTCAAAACTAACTTTGTTGTATTTTTTTCGCACTCTGCTATTTTTGTGACTGTGCAAAAAAATATGCAAATGCTACAAGTCCTCTGCTCTACTAATAACTAACAATTACGAGTAATAAATTCAACTGAACGGACATTGGTATTTTCACCGTAGTTCGAACGTATTTCACATTCATACCAAAATAGTACATTAAGATGAATAGCACCACAATCGATGGTTTTATCATTCCCCACCTTTGGTCACTGTCGCCGCGACAGCTATAGCGCCGTCGTACCTCATTAAGTTAATACAATATGGTTTTAGATGGAAAATAACGCACTGTGATGATAATTCACTGTTTATAAAAATTAAAAATAAAAAAATAATGATAAGTAAATGATAAAATATGTCGTTTTATTGTCTTAATACAAAAAAGTGATATTATATTTTATTGTATGGGTAATTTTATGAAAAACGGGACATTTTGATTTCCCAAAGAGAGTTGTCAGACGACGGGATATCAAATTAAAAAATGGGACGTCTGGCTACCCAAGATTTATAATTTAAAACTGAACAGATACATTTTGGTTTCCATCAGCTGTCTTGCTTAAACTAGCTTCCTGAAAAATACCTTCATAGTAATTTTAATTATTAGTATTTAGTAGGTACACACTTCTCGAATCCATAGTGCACTTCCAGTTTCGGACTACCTACACACTTTGTGTCGGGGTTCTCTAAAAAATAAGGACTGATATAAGTATGCAATATATTGACAGAAGTGCTTCGATTTAACCTAGCTCATATTTAGTAGATATAATAATAGGTAAAATATATAGGTAGTCTAGTAGCTATGGCATACCGAACGGTTTCCACTCAAGCTATAGCGGTGGTAGCTGGCTTTCGAACAACCCACTTGATGGCACGAGAGAGGTAGAGAAGATATAGAAATGGAATTACACAAAAAAGCAGTACGAAAGGAGACTAATAATAAATGGCAGCAGAAATGGGACGCAGCCGACGCCAGTAGATGGACAAGGAAATTAATTAATGACGTTTAAAAATGGTCTATGAGGAGACATGGTACAGTAGACATTACGCAAATGTTCACTAGGCATGGTTGTTTCGGAGAGTATTTGTACAGATTTAAAAGGCTGGACTGCCAACACCAGACAGACGATGTAGAACACGCAATTTTTCACTGTGACAGGTGGTGGTCGCCAAGAAGGACTCTAGAGATGGATATCAGGCGGTTATTCGAACCGGAGACACTGGTGGATGCGATGATCATAACAGTCTAGCTAGTTAAGAAAAATTTACTGTGGGCCGAAGGCTAATATAAGAGGGGTGGGGCCCTCTCTTTTTTATGAAGCGAAGCTCAATAGACGTCTAAATGTACATAAGTTTAAACTACGGGTAGCAAGCTGTACTACTATTAATGTATTGTATAATAAACGATACGGATACAGAGAGAAAGGACGGTCCACTTCGAGCAAAGTGACCCCCCCATGTAGCGCCGTGATAACGTTACAAAAAAAAAAGTAGGTATAGCCGGGAGCAATGGGGTGAAATGACCACGATTTTACGCAGCAGTTGGAAGCTCTAAAGCGACATAAAATAAATACTTTTGATACGCTTTTCCTGATACTGAACGTTCGATAATTGGATTTTTTTGTTTTTTGTTGATCGCAATACAATATTCTTAATATTGTTATATGTTACAACCCAAGATCGTAGATATTTTATATTTTATTTAAAAAATAGAAAAGACTGAAGACCAGCTGAACAATTATTGGACAAACTTCTTTGATACATTGAAGGAAATAATTTTAAGTGTGTAATTTTGAGCTATCACAAAGACGTGAAACAATTGGATCAATGGATCCGAAAACATTTTATAACATATTGTATAATGAAATATTTGATAATATTGTAACAAATTTGGAAACACCATTTGACTCATTGAAAAAGTTAGAATTTCTATCACTAATTGATCCAAGTAAATTTACAAATTACAACAAAGAATTTTAAAACGCTATTTTTGAAAATCTCCAATAGTCAAATTTTGGTGATGAATTAAAATTTGATTTTGTTAGATTAAAAAAATGAATTTCAGTGTTGTATACATATAAACAACTTTCAAATAGCAGTCCTTATAATTTGGTGAATAAAATTAAAATGAATGATTTAGTATTGACTTTCCATGAAGTATTCAAACTTGGTAAACTCATCTTAACTATTCCTATTACTAGGGCTGTGAATTTGTAGGAAAATGCATTTTTTTTTTTTTTTTTTGGTAATTATGAAACGTAGCTTTGTAAGTACATAATTTGTATTATGTAACTACGAATCCATTTATGCAAATTTTATTTTGCATTTTTTGACGTTTTTAATTGTTTAGGTCATTTTTGTGCATTTGTAGGTCATATTTTCCTTTTTTAGTTCATTTTATAGTATTTTTAATCAAATTCTAAAGATTAAAGACGAATAAGTTACCCAAAAATATATTTAAGTTTGTTTTATTATTTTAACAAAATAAATACTAAAAAAAAATTTTAAAAAATGTTTCAGGTGAATAGCATTCAGTATAGAAAATTCAAATTCAATCAATATTTTTATTATTATTTTTTTTTTATTAAATAAACACATTTTTATGCATGTAATGTACTAATGTATAACTAACCTGTACCTAACATTAATATAAATATAAAAATTAAATTAAAAACCATTTTAAATAAATTTTATACTATAATTGTTGGCATTTTAAGTGCATATTTTATTGAATATTTTGCATTTTAAGTGCATATTTTATTGTATTTTTTGACATTTTTTAAGATTCTTTAGTGCATTAAATTTACAGTCCTACCTATTACAATCAATCACTTTAGTTGAAAAGTTATTTTCAACAACGAAAGGAACCAAATCTTATCAAAGATAGATACAAAATCAAGATAGACCAAGTTCTTTGTCAATAATATCTATTGAAAAAAAATGATTAATAAAAACAAAAAAAGATTTCAATTTTTATGATAAAGTTATCAAGTAGTGCAATAGATCCCCAAGACCAGCAATAATCAATTATTAAATAATCAATGAGTGTTTCATAGACCATACTATACCTCAATAGGACTCATTAGTTTGAAACTCAAATTAGTCTAAGACTTTCATATATTTTCACTTGTAACTACAGTAAATAGCCCATAACTCAACGATATTCTGTTAATTGTCTTATGCGTAGTACCTAAAAATCAGTTTATTTTGAATATAGTATAAATCATACAATTATCAACAAAAAAAAAACAACCATCAAAGCACCATATACCTTTTAAAAAAACGTATGTTATTTTTATTAATTATTTTACAGTGAATAAAATAAAATAGTAATGTAATTCTAACTACATGAAGTATAATAGTGATACATTGACAGTTTGACACACTTATTTCCAATACAAAAAAAAAGTTTAATAAATATAACTGGTGAATCATCATACACTAGAATTAAAATAACTTTTTTCTTTTTAATGGTAATAATCATTATAAAAAATTCAGTTATTAGATACAAACCTTAACCTATTTGTTTCTAAATTAAATATTTAATAGTTAAAATAAAATCTTAAATAGCTAAAATAATATAATATTGAATTTCATTTTGTAAAAAGTTTTTATGAAGTTTAAATTCAGACATTTGCTATACATTTATTTTCAGGCATTATGATAAATGTTATGATTAACGCAATGTAAATGCTGGATTTTCATCATTTTCAGCTAAAGGGTACTCTGCAAGGTCCAACATTATCACTTTACTGATTAAACACTGTCCTTCCTATAAATAAATAAAAATATTTTCATTAACATTCTAGATCTTATGACTTGTGTTACAATAAAGACCTGGATTTAAATGCCTAAAAATAATAAAAAAAATTCCCTAAAAAATAACTAACAAGGTTCTTTACATTTTTTTAAAATAAATCTTTATGGCACATATTATTACACAACATAGTAGTAACATAAATCTTGACACACAGGTACTGCTGGACTATTAATTGTGAGACTGAATAGTATAATCAATCTAATTATATTCAATACTTCTAATCGATAGCTTTAATTTAAATACAATAATCCCTCATTATCCGTGGTTAAGTTCACAATAAATGTCATTAATACGACAATGTTTTATCGTTATTATTCGAACACTGTAGATAATTTTAATTTTAGACAACTGTAGATAATACAACTATATAAGTACTTTTGTACTTACTATTGATAAATACCACACATAAGGTATCTATAGACAACACATGTACGATTAATAATGGTTAATTATCGTTCAGTTTACGGTTGATATTTGTGTGTGACACGTGTAAGGTACATACAGTTGCTTCTAATAAATTTAGTGCAATTTAATTTAAATTTTCCATTCTTACTAATACTTACATACAACGTGTTTATAAATAATTAATAAATTAAAATTAAGAAAATAAAACCTAACCTCCTTTTTACATTGATTTATGGTTTCATTATCTGCTCAACTTTTCTGGAACGCAACCACCGCAGATAACGAGGAATTACTGTAATTAATGTAGTAGCATCAATTTAATACTATCAATAACCTTCATATCTATAATAGTAACATTGTATGATTATCATTATTTTAATTTTATATTATATTTTGTATTATTATTATTGTTATTATTATTTTGTATTATTTTTGTATTATATTTAATTTTAATTTAATAACGTCCTATAATAATACAAACCAAAAGAATTAAAAATCAAGTATATAAATTGTTTTCTACTCAAAATAACTATTATCTATTAAATTATTTGCATTAGAATAAATTATAATTACTTACATCAGGACAAATGCCAACTAGAGCATCAGCATGATGGAAAAATTCTTCTTTCAATGATATAACAATAGTTTGTAAATTAGTTTTCTTCTGAAGAATGTAAGAAGCAACTTTACCAATATTTGTATTATCCAAAGCTGCATCTATTTCATCAAGTACAAAAAATGGAGCTGGCTGATAACTATAAAAAATGTATACATTTTAAAGTTAACTTCATAATAAATTCATAATAATTATTTTAAACAAGTTACCTATGAATAGCAAATAATAAAGCTAATGCAGCAACTGTCTTCTCTCCTCCAGACAAATTGGACATAGGTTGAAATCGTTTTCCAGGAGCTACACAGTTGTAGTTTATGCCGTCCAAATAAGGTTCTTCTGGATTTTCAGGTCCTAAGAAAGCCTGAGCTGACTGGTTTTTAGACAATGCCTAAAAACAAAAAATGTTAGTGTTGTTCCAATACATGTATATCAAAAGAAATATAATTATACTTTATATATTAAATCAATCTCATTGGCAACATGCTCAAAGCATTCAGTGAATTTGTTGTGCCTCTCTTTCTTGATACGTTCAAAGTTCTGTTTGGCTTTCTTTGCACGAGTCCTGGCACTATTAAATTCACGGTCAGTTTCTTGCATTTTTTCTCTGGCTTGATCTAATTTTTGCATCGCCTATTATTTAACAGATTATTAGATATATATAATTACCTATTTATTAACAGATTTTTTTTTATTTATTAATATTATATACATATATCTAAAGAAATTCATAAAATCAATTTACATCATAACTAAATGAAAAATAAAAATCATAAAAGTTAATTGACAACTTTAAGTGAATAGTTTATGATCACTATTTATTCAAATTAATTAATTTCTTAACAAAACTTAATAAAACTTACTAAACTTAATAAAAATAAAAAATATGTATTTAGCTAGTTTAAATTAATTTACCTTGAAATTGGGAGCATGAATCTTTTGCAGTTTCATTGTTTGTTCAGCCATTGTTTTAGCCATTTTATCAGTTATTTTTTTAATATCGTCTGGATCTTCTAAATCTTTAAGATGATCAGGTAATGTTGAATAATCAACAGTAATTCTATAAATAAAAAAGAAAAATTAAAAAATTTCTGTTAAAAGTTAGAAGGGTAAATATCTTAATTTTAACCTGGCTTCTTGATCATAAATTTCTTGTGTATTAACTGTACTATCCCGTCCTTGTTCATCAGAATTATTTACAGATTGTTCTTGAATAATGTCTTCTAAATTACCTTGTAATAAAGGTATATTTATGTCTTCCATCTAAACCATTATCAAACATTTATAAATTGAAAAATAAATTATTTAATATTCAATTATTTTCTAGTATACCCGACAATGAGTTAAAATTGCATGTCGATCAGCTCGACGCATTTCAACTTTATTTTCCAAATTAGTGACTTGTTTTTGAGCTGCTTGAATATCTTTAGCTATTGCTCCAACTTCTTTTCTTGCCTACAAAATAATAATTTAATCTGAATAATCTATTAATAAATATAATTTATGAACATACTTTGCTGATAACTTCATCCATTTGATCTACTTCTTGTTTTTTTGTTTGACGTTGAGCTTTAAGCCTATCCACCTCTTTCATATCCATTTCAATTTCAGACATTTGCTTTTGCTCGGCCTGCTTAGCACGTTCCAGTTCATCTTCGTCATCATGAACTGCTCTCTCCCAACGTGTTACATTATCTAAAAAAAAAGCAAAAAAAATGTATTATTAACTTTTGATTCAAAATATTATGGAATTTAACCCTACTTTGTGTATCCTTTGTACGTTCAAAATCTAGTTGACTCATAATTCGATTTTTCTGATTTTCAAACTCCAAACGAATTTTAGCTCTTTCTTGTTGTGACCTCAGTTCACGTTCTTCATAATGACGGATATTAGTCATACCAATTTGACGACAAAAATCAGCAAACACATCATCCTCAACTGAATTCATGCGACCACGCATGGATTGGATTTCAATATCACGAGTTCTCATGGTTCTTTCAATTTCTTCAATACGAGGCTAAAATAATAAATAAAATTATTAAATATTTAAATACATAAAAATATAATATACTCACTCCACTTCCTTCTAATTTGTTTTCTAAGAATTTTAATTCTTTTTCTAAATCTCGAATTTGTTTGAGCTAAAAAAATAAACAAAATTTAATTTTTAAAGTAATAAACATGTTTATTATATAGTAGCAAGATAGAACACTAACAGTATTTTCTTTATCTGTTTTTCCGTATTTGAGTCTCATATCTAAACCTTTAATTTGAGAGTCAACAGTATTCAATTCAGACTCCTTACGCGATTTTTTCATTGCATCACGTAATTCTTCTGATAATTTTTCCTGAAAAAAATAAAAATATACATTATAATTTCATAATATATTATTAAGAAAACCATCTTACTTTGGAAGCCTTTAATTGAGTCATATGTTTTTCATCCCAACGCTTAGCTTTACGAGCTAAATCCAAACTACCACCAGATATAATACCAGATTTTTGGTAAAATGTTCCATCTAAGGCTACAGCCTACAACAAATTCATATTCATTATACACAATTTTATAAATAATTTGTAAGTCAATCAAGTCTTAATAATATACAGCATTTGAAGAACTCTCTTTAAATTCAAAAAGTTCTAGTAATACAATCAATAATTGAATTAAAAATTGAAAAACATACATTTTAGATCCCGTCAAAAATAAATGTATTTTATACAAATTAATGTTGAGAGATTTTTTTTTTTTAGTTCTTAAAACTTGACTGTATCTCTTTTAAAAAAAATAATTTTGTACATATACATAAATATTTATAGCTACATTTTTAAATTGTATAATAGTATATAAAAAATTATCAAATTTTTTAACATTAATCTTACATCATATCTTCCATCTCTCTCAAGTTCATAAGCCACATGGTTAGCGTCTTCAGGCGATTCACATACTAGAGCATTGTTGGTTGCAAACAAAACTACTCTATCAATTTCAGAATCAAATTCTAAAACATCATACATAAGCTTAACATTGTGTGGCCGACTAATATTTCGCAGTCTTTCCTTAAGTGGTTTTGTTTGTAAATAATCAATGGGCAAAAAAGTTTCAGGGTCCAGCATGTGATCTTTCAAGTATTGAATACATAAACGTGCTGTTTTCTCAGAATCTACAATAATTGCTTCCATGTATTTTCCCAACACTTTAGTGATCGCTACATTATAACGATTGCTGATCGGATGACACATGTTGATTAAACGATCATACTGAAAGCAGTAAATATAATTAAAAATTTAAATACTTTTTCCTTGACAAAAAGAATACTTACCACACCAGGATATGCTTTTTTGAAGTTTTCAACTAATTCTTGTTTCTTTTTACGCCTGTTATCATCATGTTTATCTACTTTTGCATCACCTAACTGTTCAGTGACATTATCTAAATCCCTTTGTAGCTTGGATACTTTATCTTTTGATGAACCTACATCTTTTCGTAATTCTTCATATAAACGTCTTTGTTCTTCCAATGAATTTTCACTACTTTTAATGTGCTCGGTTAATTTATCAACTCGTTTTTGGGCTTCTTCTTTTTCATGGGTTTTCTGCTTTATTTTGTTCTCAAGTTCAGACCTTAAGCGCAATTCATTATCTAACCTGTCCTGGTCAGCTTTTTGTTCTCTGTTGATAGAATCTAGTTCTTGTAAATAGAGAGCTGATTGTTTACGAGCTTCAATTTTCAAATGATTGTACTCTGCCACCTATAAACCAAATACGATTATTCTATTAAATGTATGTAACTTAATAAAATTACCCCAATTCACATAAAAATATTAAAATACCTGAGCATCTTCCAATTGTACATCTCTTCCTTGACTGTGACTTTCCCCAGCCACTTGTTCTTCATAATCATGTCGTCGTTTTTCAACTTCTTTAAGTTCAGCTTCCAATTCATCGATATCTTTTTTATGAGCATCATTAGCCATAACTACTTCAGCTAATGATTTTTTCGCTGTATTCAACTTTTTACGAATATGTGCAACTCTTTCTTTTGATTTGATAAATGAAGGGCGTTTTTTATTTATCTCTACTTCCTATAAATTAAAATGTATGAAAATGGTAAATAAAAATAATTGCAATTAAATAAAATTATGCCTTACAATTTCTCTGATTTCTTGTTCAACCTTAGCTAAATCACGACTAGCCTTGCCTTGTTCTTTTTTCTTTTCCTTAACAACTTCTTCAGCTTTCTCCTTTTTAGCTTCTATTTTAGCAACTTCTTTTTTGCGGTCTTCTAAATCTAATTCATAATTTTTTATCATATTTTCATTTTGATACAAACGAAACAACTGATATTCCACTTCTTTTAGAGCCTGCAAAAGTTAAGAAGACAGTTTAATAGTTTATTCTTTTTTAAATAATTATGTAGACATATTAAACGTAATATTATTATATTTTTTTATTTTATATTTAAAGCTTTATTATCACAATATTTATAACATTTTTTTAATATATTTGATTATAAATAAGCCATTTTATTCAGAATATAACACAAATTAATTAATATTAAGATTAATTAACTATTTACCAATTCATCTTTAAGCTTCTGATACTTTTCTGCTTCTTCTTTCTCAAGTTTAGCTTCTTTACGTTCAGCAGCAACTCCTCTTTTCTTTAAGTAAGTAAAATTGGTTTCTTCTTCCGCTTTCATAACTTCTGCTTTCAATTTATCATAGTCTTCTTTTAATGCACCGGAACTAAAAATTTAATAACATATTATATAATATAATAATATTATTAAAATTAAATTAATATATATATAATAATATATAGTTTATTAATTTACTGTACAAGTACATACCCACTGATTTCTTCAAACAGAGCTGTTCTTTCCTTAGGATTTTTCATAGCAATCGATTCAACTGCACCTTGGAATACCAAAAAATTTTTTGCTTTCACATTTACTCCTATCTGTTCCAAATGAGCAAAATATTCTTGATTTGAAATAGACTAAAATAATAATAGTTAATAAATAATTAAACAAATATATATAATAAACAAATGATTAGTTAAAATACAAAAATATACTTCATCATTAATTCGATAGTCAGAAGACGATCCTTGTACAGTCCTAGTAAATCGTTTTTCAGTTCCTTCGGCGTCCATTTTGAAAACTGCAGTTACACTAGCACTAGATGCATTACATGAGAAATTTATTAAATCAACACATAAGACTAATAAAATGAATTAAAAGATGAATGTGTGTTCAACAATGTTATTCTATTTCATAAACCAAATGATTACTCAAAAAAGCGTACAAGTACTTTACAGAATGTATACAGACTACATACCTGCGAGAAACAGGTTGTCCGACTGAAGCACCGTGTATGAGATCACTGAGACGTTTCACTCGAAGACTAGTAGTTTTTTCACCCATCACAAAACTTATAGCGTCCATAAAATTTGATTTACCTATATAATGAAAATGAAACCAATGACGGGTTAACACAGAAAATTACTAAAGCATTAAACATAATTTGTACACACCCGAACCGTTGGGTCCAATGACAGCCGTAAAGTTCTTCAAGGGACCAATCATATGATGGCCCCTGTAGGACTTGAAGTTGTCCATTTCGATGCATTTCAACACCGGCGGCATTTTGCGGTTTATTCACTAACGACTATAATATATGACAATTATAAATTATACATTGGCATAATCGTCACTAGAAAAAGGGAAAACTGAAAAAAATAAAACGCAACACAATTCAAAATGAAACGTCCGCGAACGAACAATATCAATTAAGGCGCGAACGATCGAAACGAATCGCGAACAGCAATAAATAACAAATATGTTATTAATAGTTATAACCGACAACTAAGACAGATCGTAAACTTATAAAAAAACCTGTGAGCACAAGGTATGAAAATGTATCTTTAGTACATTCACGAAATAACAGACGGACACATAAATCGCTGAGATAACAAAGATCAACAAAACAGAATCACCGCGAATGGACGACCGATAACGTTTGGACTGGCAGACGGATACGCGTAGTGCTTCGTTTAGCCATTGTGTTCCAAGAGCGCCACCGTAGGTGTTACGCTTATTCGCAGTGCCGGCCTGGATACGTTTGATTGGGCACTTGGGTCGGCTATAAATTAAGAGGGCTGAAAACCCTTTTTTTTATTATTAACCGGCAATGCAGCCGCCACCAGGAAATGTCGTAAAACAATACTTCTGTTAGCGGGTCGACATCATTCATTGAAAAATGTCAAATCAATCCACTGTCGGCCTAGTCATGGCCGCTGGGCCGCAAAAGCGTCCGGAGCCTGTCCGTTTTTTTTTTTTTTTTTTTTTTTTTTTTTTAATCTCATAAATTTTGTTTTTGGTAGGTATATAAAGAATCAGAACCCCGTAAAGTATTCAAATGTAATTTTTAAGAGTAATTTTTCTTTCAAGGCTTTGAAAATTCAAAATCGAATACTCAGACGATTGCTCATTACCTATAGTATGAGCAGTGCATAATAGTACTATTGTCAAGAAAAGTAACAACTGTCTAACAAGCTAGAGGAGATTTTTCGGATTAATTGCGCTATTACAAGTTAAGTTAGGTTTTATCTTTCTTCTAAAAAACAATGGGCTCGGACGAAGCCACGAGGACCCTATTTGCCAGAACCTGCAGGGACCCCGGGCCCCCGCTGTTGGATTCAGTGATCATGCAAATATTGCATACATAAATACGTATAATGTATATGAGTACGAACGCACGAATAAAATTATTTTATAAATCCGCAACTCCGCATGCACCGTAATGCCGTGCGGTCAAAAAAATTAACGTACCGTAGCTCCGCATTCTAAAAATATTTTTAACATCAAAAGTCCGCATGGCATAAGACAGTGTTTCGAAAATTACTTTAAAAATGACTAATCCAAGGATTCACGAATTAAAAAAAATTATCACCTACTTAGACAAGACATACATATAAAACGATGCAACATTTCCACCTAGTATTTGGACCAAAAAAGAAGCAACACTGGGGAGAACAACAAATAACTGTGAGTCTTTTCATGTCAAATTTGGTAATTTATTTACTTCAGAACATCCAAATATTTTAGTTTTCGTTAAAAACTTATCAGCTATGCAGACGGATTCTTACATACGAATGAATTCTGCTAATAATAATAAAAGTAGGATAGTTAGAATTAAACAAAAAATCATTATGGAATTTATAAATAAAAACATACAACGACCGCCAAATTGATAGATATAATTTTGTAACATGTTTGGCACCATTTAATAATATTTAGTTTTAAATTACATTATAATTGTATTACATTTAATTTTATATGAACGACTACGATGTTTGTTGTAAATTGTCTTTATTATTATAAATTTTTTTATTTTATTAGATTTTAGTTGTTACAACAAATAAAAACATAGAATTATATAACGACGGCCAATTGATAGAATACTGATTGTTTTTTTTTTTAATTATGTACAAAAATGTATATAAAAATGATGTGCGAAGTTAGGGTGTTAAAAAAAAAAAAAAGTGCGGAGTTAAGGTGTAAAAAAACCTTGTATGCAGAGTTTAGGTGGTATATTACAAAATGGCTATGATGCATGCGCAGTTACAGTGCACCGATGAGTACAGTGGTTGACATATTATTACTATAATAACTATATTATCTGTATATATAAAACAGTAAGCTGATTGACTGCTATCAACGTACAGCTCAAACCATTGGACGGATCTAGCTGAAATTTGGCATACAGATAGCTATTATGATGTAGACGTGCGCTAAGAAAGGATTTTTCGAAATTTTGAATTTAAAGGGTTGAAATCGGTTTAATATTTTTTGACCAGGTCGATAACTGCGCTATTGAAAATGAATTATACGACGAGACATAGAAGCTAATCAGTTAGGCCAAATGGTTATACTCCCGTCAACTTTTACTGGTGGGCCAAGGTACATGCACGAAAGAACTTAATTAACTTAATTAATTTAAATTTCAATAGATTTAACAAAATTTAATCTTGGCAGGTTACATACATTTATATACTTAAACCCGGCAACGACGGGTAATTCAGCTAGTACTATATATATATATTGAGTCTTGTTTTTTGACTATTTATAGTATTATAGCAAAACTTAGTTTATTTTCCCAGGAAATTGCTTATCGACGACGTTGACAAACAATGTATCATTATATTATTCTATTCAGTGACATAAGGTATTAACTATTTTCGAATATTATATTACTGTAAACGTTAAGCAACAGTGCAACACCAATGTCTATTATTATTTATATTATAATAAAACTAGTAATAAAATAATATTATTTTTTCTTTAACTGTGGATGTGTGTCTATTGTGTGCTAGTGTAAATTTAATACCTATATTACTAAATTACATATTAAATTATTAAATTTTAAAAATGAAATGACAGTCGAATGCCTTTATTTCATTTTTCAAAAAGAAGTTAAAGAAACTAATCAAGAAAACAGCTTGTCAAAATATGATTCAGATCAAGACCAACCTAGTAAAGAACTTGTGGTAATAAAGTTGAACTATTTTTTGAAATAATCTAAATGTTTGTCATGACAATTTCAATACACAATCCAAATTCATTGCTAAATCATTAATCAGTAATTGCTCAAGATTTGAAATTAGTTGTAGGTACATCTAATTTAATGCTTGATTTATTCAGCCACAACTCCGGTATTTATTCATGTACAAACGAAAACTATTAATTATTTACAAGCATGGAATATGATAGCTGCTTTAAAAAAGAAATTACGAGTATGTATTAAATTTGTATAAAAAATGTCAAAATTTTTGTAAAAAAATAAAAAATCACTTTTATGAAGAAGATTTAATTAATATCGAAGATAAAACGTATTTAAAAAAAAAAAAAACTTTCTAGGGAAAAGTGTTGTGATAAATCAAGAATTATATCTCCATAATATGGAGATATAATTTATTTATTATATTATAATAAATTTAAATATGATACTTTTTTAATTATAGATACTATTTAAAATAGTATTGAGTCATGATTCATGAAAATTTATTAAAAGATTTGAACTGGTTGAACCCCAGAAGTTTTCCAGTAGGTATTTAACAACATTGAAATAATCCCTCTATCAGCTTTGAGTACTTTATGTAAGATGTCTGAATTAAATCATCAATTAATCCTAACAGAATTGAAACAATTTTCCAGTCAATATGAAAACTTTATACCACAAATATCTAAATATACTACCGATTGTGATTCAGGAAAAAGTTATTTTTAAACAATGAAGATGTAAGTGGAAGTGATGAAGATAATGATAAAATATCAAAATCAATAAATTGTAATAAATGCAACAAATGTATTCACTGTGCATTTTTGATTGTACGAGAATTATCATGTCAGTCAAATTTATTTATCATTTACAAGTTTGCTTTGTTATTGCCATCAACACAAACAACTTGTGAAAGAGTATTTTCAGAGCTTAAATGTATAAAAACAATACTTCACTCAACATTACACTAAAATCATCTTACCCCATTAATGTTGATGGAAAAAATGTGGCTATTAACATCAAAAAACTGATTGAGACCATAGCTAATTCATCTTATGAATTAAAAAAAATTACTTTTATAAAAATTGTATTTTATTATTTAAAGAATTCTTACTATTTCAAAAATAATTAACTGTAAAATTGCTTTTATATTTAATAAGTTAACTCATGAATTAACTAAATTGTTTATTATGATCCATATAAGGACGGATACAGTGGTACTAAACGGGGGGAGGGGGAATTTATTAGTTATCAACCAAAAAAAGGTTATCATCTATTTCAAAAAAAACTTTGTTGGAATATATGACACTTTTTTTATGAAACGGGGGGGGGGGCAATTGCCTCCATTGACCTCCTTGTATCCGTCCTTGGATCCATATCGGTAAAAATGTTAAGTATATATATAGAAGTATCTTAATATGTTATTTCAATAAAATGTCATGTACATTTTTAATTACTACATAAATTAATTTCTAAATAAACTCGAAGGACCTAATCTTGATGGTTTTTTTTTGGGAGTGGAGATCATGGCCCTCATGACCATCCCCTGGATTCTAAATAAATTATGCACCTTAAATAGTAACATGAAGTAGTGAATATTACATACAAATAACTAAGTTTTTGACCTTCGGTAAATTGGAATGCCTCCATCGGAATGATTGTCGATAAATGATTCGGCTCCGTGCCGCTCTCTTTCTCACCCACCTAAAGGAACTATCCCCAGCAGCTGCCCTAGGGCTTGTCTATCACGTTCCGCGTCCTCTTTGGCAGCCATCACGTGTATCTCAGTTAAACGGGTTTGCCAGCATTAAGGGGTCCACCAAGGGCCGTGTTAAGGAGGGTCAAAGGGGGCAATTGCTCTCGGGCGCCGTAGTTTTTTAAAAGTAAGGGGGCACCCTTATCTGCACTTAATATGCTACCTGTGTCCAGTGGACCCGTAGAAAAAATGTTGCCCCGGGGCGCTGAAATGTTTAACACGGCTCTGGGTCCACCTGAGTTGAATAGCCCTATAACCTGGACGAGACGTTCCCTTTTCCATTCTAACACTTTGCAACGTATTAACGTGTAGCGCTCAGAGCCCTATTAAATTTAATAATCTCCCCCTTCAAATAATGTATATCTATTAATTTATTTATACATTTTTGTGCATTTATGTTTCAAAATTAAAAATTATTCTAAACAAATGACATTGAAAAACATTGTTTGACACTAATCAGAGATTTTGATTATTCATTTTGTATTAAAAATTACTATTACAGGCACAGATGCCAGCAGGAATTTTATCAGAGAGAGAGAGACATCATGCATAGTATATACGCTGATTTCTAAATTATGCTTAAATTATTTAAGTTATAATAATTACATAGGAATATATTTTCATTTTGTTTAACAATATAAAATATTATACCTAATTTTGACACCTACTAAGTAATACTACTAGAAAATTTGATAATGATAATAATAGTCTCTATCCTACATATTTAAATGTTATCCTTTTTTTTAAATCAAGGAAGTGCAAGTGAATCACCTTATGCCCCTTTAGTGGCACCCAAGATTACAGCATCAATCATATGACTATTACTGATTTAATATTGGTGCATTATGAAAGATCAAATTTTCACTAAAATATGAAAATATAAAACAATTTATATTTATTATACAAGAAATTAATTAGTAGATTATAGATTTCTATTATGTATCATAATTTATAATATGTTAATTTATATTATAATATCATTCATTTTGCAGTTGAATTTTGAGCATAGGTTCAAAAAGAATATTTTAGAATGTCCAAATTCAACATATACGTAATGGGTCTAAACCAGTGGTTCTCAATCTTTTTAGGACCGCGACCCAAATTTTCTTCCAGAAATCTATTGCGACCCCATAGTCTTACATTTACAGAATCAATAAAAATAATTTCAAAAAACAAATTTTTTTCTCTTTTATTACTTATTTACTACTTTATAATAATAATAATAAAAATAATAAAGTTTTTTTTATTATTAATATTAATATTTAAATATTTAAATATTTTCTATTAGTTCTATAGTCTATAATTTATACAATTTAAAAAAACAAATTTCTTACAATCTGTATAATTAATAAAACTTCTCGCGACCCCCCAAATATTGACTCACGACCCTCTAGGGGTCGCGACCCACAGTTTGAGAAACGCTGGTCTAAACAATTATAATGCATAGTTATTGGAAAAAAAAAACCTTTTTTTATGACCTATAGCTTTTTTATTGAACTTAAAATATAAAATAAAGTTAATAAAATAAGTTAAATTAAGTTTCATAGTCAACATTTATTAAGTTCTGTAGAAATTATTTTGTAAAATGAATCAATATAATTATCAGATATTGTTTGAGATGGTGATACAAGCGTAAAACCACTTTGTGTTCCAATTGCCAACCAACGAAATGAACTAAAATTTTGATTCCATGAAACCTGAAATCAAATAAATCAAATCTTTAAAATTACATAATACCCCATAATTGAAAATTTAACTTTTACCTTAGTAATATTATCGAGAGGATATCTAAGCAATGGCTTGGTATCATCTTTATTGCTCATTATATTTTCATCAAAACGGAACTAAAAATATAAAAGATTTAATATAAAAATTGGATTGAATTAAAAAAAAAAAAAAAATGAGTGAGCAAAATTAATTACAGATTTGAATTCTAAACCAAATATTTTAATAGTCTCATTAAAGTGGCTGTAATTTGAAACTTCTGAGTTTGATGTATCATTTGGATTAAGTTTTCTTACTATCAATTGAAGTGTAGCCTAAAGTTAAAAAGTAAAATATGATTAAAATAACTAGAATTGTCACTAAAATAGATTTATAAAAGATAATTAATTTTTTTACATATATTTACTTATTCAAATTTTGTATAATATTATAACTTCTGTAACTTATTTACCTGGAGACATTTCAAATATATAGTTCATTTATTTTTTTTTATAAAATTTGAAAAATTTATTTTGAAAATAAAATTAATTAAAACATGAATGGCTAATCTTTATTTATTCAGTCTATTGCTTGCCATCTCTCTAATTTCCTTTAAGGTTTTGACTCGTGTGTCGTTTTTAATTTGTCCTATACATCATTTGAAGGATGTCCTGCAGTTCTATTGCTTTTTATCATACCTTCAAAAATAATATCAAACAACTTTCTGGATGTCTCAAGGTTTGTTCAACCATTTTCCAACACCTTGCTCTCATTACATCCATAAATGCATAGATGCTTTTCTTTTACAGTTCTTGTTACCTCATTGCTAGTTTTACTTTCTATACAACTTGTCTTTTCCTTATGGCTCAAATCTCAAAGGTTTCTAGTTTTTTTCTTTACAATATCATTTTTAACCTATGGTGAAATGTACATATATTGTAACACTCCATACATACATATAATTTAATGAACCTTTTCTTGATATCAAGATATATATTTATTAAGGTCAATAATTTATTAACTAATCATACTATTATCCTATAAATAAAAAAAAATATTAAAAAATTTAAAACAAATCAATTAGAGCAATAATTTTCAAGCACATACTATTTAAAAAATAAAAAATAATACATCAAATTTACTTTGCTTGAAATAATTGTATGAATACATTAATTTACAGTTACAAACTATAATAACTATAAAAAGTCAAACCAATTTCTGTCAAATTCCACACTAACTTTTTAAAATATATAGTTTTAAAATATTAGTATATATTAATTAATAAATCACAGTTGTTATTGATTTTATTACAATTAAAATTGGTTATATTGTTTTATTAAAATACAGGTTTAAATTGATAGCATTTCAATTTCATAGACTTACACAGTTTTCTTTTTTTATATGATTGTTTTCAGGTAGAAAAAGTTTTTCATAAATAACTCCACCTTCATCCCCAGTTGCAATGATGTTCATCCAATCTGATGCAGAAACAGACTAAAAAATAAAATCCGATAATTTAAATCTATCTCTATTTATAAGAGTAATTTTACAAACCCAATGAGTACTTCTTTGAAAAAAAGTAGGACCATATAAATCATCCTCATCAATACTTTTTGATACATCTCCAGATTTTTCAACAAAATTTGATTTTTCTCCATCACTATTTGTGTCTGAATCAACAAATTTGAATGACTCATCATCACTTAAGGAATCATCGAGAGTGGTTTTTTTAGCCTTTATTTTAGGTTTTTTTCTAACAGTATCATTACAATTGTCTACATCATTATTTAATTTGCTATCATTATTCACAACACTATTATTACTAATTATTTTACTACTATTGATCACACTTTTTATAACATATAACTCTGGATTGTAACCTTCAACGTCATCATTATAATTTGAAAAATTGATAGTTCGAACTTTTAAGAATAATGGACTAAAATATAAATAAAATATAAAAATTCATATTTTTTCAATTATAACATAATCAATTATAATTAATCAACTTACTTAACACCTTTACTACAATACACTAATGTATAACATTGTTGAAGCCAAGTACAATCAGAAGGACTATAAGATTTTTTCTGAAAAATTGGAATTTCAGTTGATTTTAAATCCCATAGAGTTACATGACCATCAGTTGCTGTAGTAGACAATATCAAAGAATTAAAATAATTCATAGAAAGTCCTAAAAAAAAACAAAATTAATACACCCATTTCAATTCCAGCAAAATAATTGCTATTTAAAATAAATAAAATAAATACAGAAATAAATGCACTAACCTGTTATGCTACATCTACTCGCCCTAAAAGTGTGGCTTGGATAAAGTATTTCATCATTTAAGAATATAGATTTAAAATTTATATTGAACAAACTCACAATACCATTTGAATAACCACAAATGACAGTTCTAGAATATTTAAAACAAAATAATTTTAATTAAATAAGAATTTTTGTATACGAAAAATATATAAACATATTTTATGTTTGATTAGTTACCATAAAAGAAAAAGAAAATAAATATCACTCTATTTGAAAATTAATCTTTGGTTATCAGAGTTGGAATAAGACATATATTAAGAACTGATTTTGTTTAAAAGAACTCTGTATTACTTTTAAATACACTAATTAAGTTATTTAATTGTTACTATATTTACTTAAAAGGTGCAATTGCTTGCCAACAAACTTTTGTACATTGTACACCACCTTCAATCCATTCACATTCAAAATTTCTTGCTATAACAGGTTTGGCTTTGTAGATATAAAACCTAAATAAATTATACTTATTACAATAATTTTTTTTTTATTTCATTATAAACATTCAACAATACATTTCAGAATTTTCATCTGTACAAGGCATTGCAAATATGGGACAATCTCCACAAGATGTACTTAATGCCAATAAACCAATTTTATTATTAGGCTCATAAGCTCCTGAAGGACACCATGCCATATCCCAGACAGCACCAAAATCATGAGCTAATCCATAGGACATATATGGCATATCAGCAACAGATTCATAACTAAAAAAAAAAAATATTCACATACTTATGAAATAAATTATATAACGAAATATAATAGATATTGTTATAAAAATAATAAAACATTACCAAAGCTTACTTAATATTACTTAGTGAATTAAATTTCCATAATTGTAAAAGTGATGGATATTTGTAAATGTTCATCTCTTTATGTAGTAGATCAGGTTTAGGATGACATGATATTGCTAAATACTGAGTTTGAACTTCTTTTGGAACAGGACACCATGATAAAGCCCAGTTGGGACCACCAGTAAAGAGCATAAATTTACCTAAAAATAAAACATAATTTTATTAAATATAAAAACAAATATTTTAATAATAAATATACCATTGACATGAGCAGACTTAAATAGACTAACACAAATTTGTTCATTATTAGAATTAAATACTTTGCAAGACTGCTGAATGGATGGCAAATACCTTAACGCTTCTTCATTATTCAAAATTTTTACATTACATTTAAAATCTCCATGATAAATGGCTTTCCAAAATGTTTTAATATAGCTAAAATTAATTAATTAATATTAATAATAATCTTATATATTAAAAAAAATTATGAAAACTAAAGTCAGTCTATCCGGCCGATTTCCTTCATTTTTTTTTTTTTTTTAAATGAAAGGTATTAAGACACAAATATGCCAATAATCATTGAAATTTACTCAACTCCCACCAACGTGATTCTTCCCTGTACATTTCTTATGGGACACATTAAAATTCTCATAGCTCCTTTTCCAAAGAATGAATCTTGATCGTTTTACTTTAAGAACACTCAGTGGATCATGCTCTTTCTTTTGAGCTATTAACTGCTTAAATTTGTTGAGTTTAAGGAAAGTTATGTGTGCACAGTCAACTTTACTTTCAATTTTTTCAAATACTGCATTTTCATTGGCTCTTATCCAGTGATATAATAACAAACAACTCACAAACAATACTAATATTATTACTTATATTAGCTTATGTTGTCTAGAAGGAAGCACTGTAAAATGATTTTATGTAATAATTACACCCTTTCATACACAGTCTATCCTAATGCTGTGGAACATATATTTTAATAAACACTCTCTGTCATTTTGATATGTCTTTCAATTATTGATATTAAACTCATTTATTGCTTTGTTAAAATGTGTTTATGTATTAATCTATTGCAAATTTTCGCAATGAGTATACTAATTAAACAGTTATTAAATTTTTAACTTACAATTGGTAGTAATTTAATAAAGGTATTAAATATATGTTTTGATGTACATCATTTTTACCTGTGAAAATCAATGACATTATAAAAATAAACTATAAAGATTAATTAAATACAAATAAAATTACTTACTTAATATATAATCTTCCATAATTTTTTTACTTGTTATGAGATTTAAATCAATATTATGGATTGTTGAAATGTGATTAGTAATATCATTAATACTAAATGTTACAAAATCACATAAACGACACATAAGATCCTGTAATTTTTTTTTTTTTTTTAATAAAAATATACAATGCAAATGTATAGTAAATATCTTACAAAATATTCGGTCACATATTTTGTATTAGGATGAAAACTTAAAACATTTGGAGGTCTTCTTTTTCGTCGCATTTTGTAAAATAATGCATTCTAAAATAAATAAAAAACATTGAATATAAATAAATTTTCTAATTTACTTCATAACTAAACATTGTGGTAATAAATCAATGTTAAATATTAAAAAAGGGGAAGAAGAATCTTTTCATCAATAGTTTTAAGAATGTAATTAATAATTACATTTTTATTATTTATTACATTTATTATTTAAAATATAATACATTTTTTGAATGATACATATAATTCAATAAAAAAAAACTCAATAGGTAATAAATTAATTAAAACTTACATCATCAATATAGTTAGACCAATTATTTTCTGTTTTATCACTATTTTCCACCTTACTATTTGCACCTTTACAATTTTTCAATCTATGAGATAAAAATGAAGATGGTTTAATTTTAGTTCCACAGTCTTCACATCTTACTAATAAAAGTTTTATATCCTAGAAAATATATAAATAGTATATAAATTATTTGTATGTATATACACAGCACTCTTTTACCAAAAATGAATGGCACACATAAATAGTATTAAAAAAAATATATATATTAATAAATATAGAATGTCATGGTCAATTGGAATAAAGCGGCAGTGTCTAAAACTTTAAAAAGCATAGTCAGTGGTTTGAATTTTATCTATGGTGGTTTCTCTTTCTATGATAGAACAACCACCGAGGAGAAGAAACCACCAAGGCTTCCTCTATCTAAAATGTACCACAAAAATAAACTATCAACATTAAAAATTCTAAACCACTATACTAAAAAAAACATCAAATAAACTGAGTTTTTATGGATTAATAAAAAAAATATGTAAAAATATTAGTGGACCCAACAAACATAGTCTGATTAAAAAAAAAAACCTGTTAACCTGTTTTATGTAAGCGAAAAATGTTTTCTATCAAATCAAATAATAAATCTAAATCATTCTCAAATCAACTTTATCACATATGCAACTTTTCATAAAAATCTGACCAACCTTTTAACACATTGATTGTCATGCGACAATGATTGTCAATGCAGAGTACTAGCATACAACAGTATTTTTATGGATACCGGTGGTTTACACTTTGTTATTATTTATACGCCATATGACCGCATGCTGTCATAATCACATTTATTTGTAAAACGAAATATTTCCGTAGCTTTAAAGTTATGAAGATTATGTTTGAATGATGGCGAAGAGGAAAAAATTTCGTGTTAAATATACTATTTGTCGTAAACTGATTATTTTATATACACTTAATTATATTATGAAAATATCACTATATAATACATTATATCATATTTATTATTCAAATAATTTGTTTTAAATTTAAATTTTTAAATATCAACAAAATACAAATTATAAATGTAATACAAAATATAGTTATTGAGACATATACTTATAAATAAAACATACAAAATATAATGAAAATCCTTAGTTTGTGTAATGTAGATTGAAACAACTAATACATGTATACAATTTATATGGTATGGAAAATGTATTTTTCTAATATTCATTATATTTCAATATTATTCTAATAATTGACAAACCATATCGTTATTTACTTTGTCTCTTTGGACACAACGCCAAATTAAAAATACAATCATAATAAAAATATCAACGATATTTTATTATAAATGACCGCAGGCAGTCATATGACAAACAACTGACTAATAATGATATATTGACAACGCCATGCACCTGTTGGATACTATAAATATCATATTCATCCACAGTAAAATCTTCGTTATGAAGATAATAACATTGGAATTACTTTATTCTCATAATTTTTTCAATAAATATATTAACATTTATGAAATAAACATGGAAAATAGAACAAGGCCATGTAGGAAAGATAGTGATACAACCACCAGCTGCCGCATGGCAGTCAACATGTTAAGAGTTCAATGATATACACAGACCAAAAATATATATATATAAAGATAAATTAAATAATAGTATATTATGACTTAAAAATGTCATATAATTACAAATAAATAAAACAAAAATAATTAACACTATTACTTACATTAGCAGTTTTATTACAAAATATTACATGACTGGCAAAACCTGAAATGCTTCTTTTAACACTTTTGCAATCTTCACAAGTCAATTTCACTGATCGCGAACGAACCACACTAAAAGGTACAAATTGTTTCAATTTTGCCACTATAACATCATAGTTTTCTAAATCCTAGATTTTATAAAACAAAAAAATATTACTTACTAAAATAAATTAATAAAATCACATTTTTACTTACAGGTTTATCTTCTCCAACAATCCAGCATAAATTGTTATGTTTAGAACAATGTTTAGAACAGTATTCTATATAAGTCATTTCTTTGTTACATCGTCCACAAGTTACCTAAAAGTGTATACTATAGAATTGTAAATATCCTTTAAGTTTGAATAACTTACTATTGATGCATTTGTTACTTCTATTTCTGATTTTTTATTTAAGTCATTACCACTTTCAAAATCATTTATTAAATTCAATTTATCCTAATAAAAATATTAATGTTTATTATATTTATTGATTTAAATAGAAATCTGAATAACTTTACCGGTCTTAATTTACACTGTTTTAAATGGCTAGCAAAACCAGGTACACTTTTTTTTTCTACTTGACACCATTCGCAGACAAATTTTACTTTTTTTTCGCGAGCTGCATCTTTTGGTAAAGTTTGTCGTAACAAAGGTTGTGTTATGGCTACATCATCAAGATCCTAAAAATATAAAATAAAATATTTAAAACTTTTAAACAATTAAAAATTTTAGAATAAAATATTTTATTTAATTGTATACTTTAATAATAATTTATATTAACTAATCATTCATTTTATACTAAGATAATTTCAATTAACTTACTACTTTTTCATCACCATTTATCCAGCATAAATTATAATGAGTTGCTTTATGATTTTCTGTAAATTCTTTATACAGCATAGTATTATTACATAAACCACAAGTTACCTTAAAAAATATGGAAAATATATAATAATTAATAATGGCAACATTTAAATACTTTAACATATGCATACTGGGGAATCTGAATCATATTTAGAGTCCTTATCAATAGTCTCAAGTGAATCAGACACATCAAGTTCTGGATGTTGTAGTGATACAAACTAAAAAAAAGTTTTTCTTATTATTCAATTATTTGTTTAAGAAATGTATATATTATTATAATTATTAATATCATTAATAGTTATTTGAATATAAATATAAGACAACTATTTTTTTTAAATATAAAGTATTAAGTTATTTCAGTACTTTATGATTTTTCATAAAATACAATATATTGAAAAAAAATGATAATTTAAGAACCTACATTTTTTTTCTTATCTTAACAAATTTCTTTCAAAACAAATGATTTAGATACAGAAAAATAATTTAAGTATGAAAAAATATTTTTTAAATCAGTATCAATGTAATTTAAATTTGGTATACAAATTATTTGGTTAATTTAAAATACTCATAGTTTAATTGTTAAAATTGTAATTACATTTTGTTCTTTGGCACATTTCATCACATGAATAGCAAACCCTAACAAACTGTTTCTCTTTTCTCCACACCATTCACAAATAAAATAATATTTTTTTACATTTTCAGTAAGTTTTGGTAAAATTTCCTTGAGTAATTCAGTTATTTTGTTCTGATTTGAATAATCCTAAAAATACAAATAAACCAAAGATTAATTTAATGTTTCTAAAATCATATAAATCAAACTTAAAATAGCATACTAATTTTTCTTCACCATCTAACCAACATAAATTATAGTGTTTATATCTATGTTCATTTTTGTATTCTGCATATTTCATACTTTCTTTGCAACGGCCACATGACACCTAATTATGAATTAAATGATAAATCAAATGATTTAATTTAAGTGACAATATACCATAAGCTATATAATAATGACTGGAATATGGACTTCAATTAGCATAATCAGTGATGCTTAAGTAGAAAAGTAAATGTAAGAAATAAACAATAGACATCCACCCAGTGGTGTATACAAGGGGTTAATGTGGGGATCAGATCCTTCCTTGGCCTTTTTTTAAATGTTATAAATTAATGTGAATGCGTTAGAAACATAAAAAAAACTAATGATGTAAAATTTGCAAATGATCCCCCCCCCACCCCATTCAAAAATGATGAATACTCCACTACATCCACCCATTACTATTAATTTAAAAATAGGTGAAAATATTTTCTTTGAGATGAGAAATTATAATTATAGAAATTATTACAATATTTCATATATCTTAACTAGGTTTAACAATACACACCAAAAAATCTATATTCAGTATAATTATAATAAAGAATACATTTAATAACACACAAACTTAACATCTTGTCTCATCTTCCATTACTACAATTATTTAACCATTTAAATATAAAATAAAATATTTAATGCCTTTCATATAAATAGATCTTGGCACCACTAAACATACTTTTGAAATATATTAAATTAAAAAGTAATGTACACAATTATTTATAGATAATTACCATACAAATTATCAATATCTCATATCATATATCAACAAATCATTTACTTACTATAGAATCATTAGAATAAGTAATCGATGAACTAGAATTTTTCTGAAGATCTTCCTGATTTATATCATTTTCACATAACATTGTCTAAAACAAACAAAAAAAATATTAAAATCAATTTTTTTTTTAAATGTTTTTATTAAATAATAAAAATAAACAAATATTTTATAAATGTTATATTATATAATATTTATATTTGTTAAAAAATTACATTTCAAAACATACTTTTTTTTTATAAATATAAATATTTTAAAAATTAAAATGTATTACATATAGTCAAGTATTTTGGTACATAAAACTTATAAAACACCCTAATAAAAAATGTTTAAACAAATAATAGTTACAAGTATACTTGAACTAATAATTAAACAAGTATTATTGTTTATACTATATAAAATAAATTATTATCACTTCTGAAAATGTATACTTACTTTCGCTACGCAATTTTTTAGATGTTTAGAAAATCCAGCAATGGTTAATTTTATATCATCGCACCATTCACAAACAAATTTCGACTTAGTTTTAAGCATCTCAGAATTTTCTTTTAATATTTTTTGAACCTGTGATGTATCTGTGAAATCCTATATGAGATATATTAATACTTAAAATAATTTAGCTTAAACAACGTTAATATTTAAATCAAATCCTTACAATTTTATCCTCTACGCCTTCTAACCAACAAAGGTAATAATGACTTTTACGGTGTTGAATTATATACTCATGAAGGCTCATTTGCTTCTTGCAATTACCACAAGTCACCTAGATAATTGAAACTGCACGTGTAATTATGAACAGTATTTTTGATACTCAATAATTCAGAGCTTGAAATTGTATTTTAAAATTAATATTCAACAATACATGAATAATGAATAATATATATTAAATATCTTTTTGCTAAAATCATCATTTTTAAATAAAATGTTATAACTTATTATTTTTGTTTTAATATTTATGTGCATTAGAATAAATTCTATAATGAGTTATGATGTACATTGAATGTACACTAATATGTACAAAAAAATAACTTTAAAAATGGTAATAACATATTTTAAACACGGTAAAAAATGTAATATAAAAATAATAAGATATCTATTCTATAGGTACCTGTTGGATATATAGATGGCAAATTAATATTTAAAGTGAATTTTAAAATAAATAAGAATGTTAAGCCTGTAACTGTTGAATCGAAATTCATATTTTTTCAAATTCCCTTTCAACTAAGGAATACTACTAGGAGCAGTGCTGGATTGCCCATTAGGCATTGTAGGCAGAGTAGGATCTCACTCATTTAAGGGACCCTGTGAAAATAGAAAACTATATATTTTTTTATTTAATAATACCTGTATTTTATTTACGAATTTACGGGACTAAAGTCAGTATGAAATATAATATATATTAAGTTGTATATGTTATATGCATTAATAATAATAAAACGATTTTGAAAAAAATAGAAATAATATAATAGTTAATTAATTTTTCTTGCAAATAAAAAAAATTTAATAAACATGATTTTATTTATAATACAGTAAAACCTTGATAAGACAGAATCGCTTGGGATCATGACTTTTTTGTGTTAACAGGGTTTCCGTCTTGATAGGGTTAGTTAATTATATGTAATTTGAAACGGACCAAAAAAATGTCCCGTAATACAAAGGTTTCCGTCTTACCAAGGTTTTACTGCAGTTGGTTATTATTAAAGCGGTTAATTTTAATTATTGGATAGTAATGTTAAAGATGTGTGTAAAAAATAATTTTGTAGGGCCCAAAATTTTAATTGCCTAGGGGCCCACAAATGTTTAATCCTACACCGACTGGAAGTATCTAAAAATGACTGTAACTAATACATGCCTATTTTATTTACAATAGTAATGAGATGCAGCATAAGACTTTAGGTGCAGTTACAATAATTCCAATTTTTTATCACTGATTTAATTATTTAGGCGCGTACATCTTTTTTACATTAAACTCCAAATAATCAAATGTTTACGATGTCTAGTACATTATAAGTGTATACAATTATATAAAAAGCATTTCGTTACGATGTAGACACTTCTCACCGTGGAGTCATGACTGATAATGCTCGGGGTCACGAGATTCGAGATTGATTCGTCTTCGTCGTCAAACTCTACTTTGACTTTTACGTTTTCGTGATCCATGTTGTAACAGTGTATTTCGGGATTCCGCGGTTGTCGTAATTTTACATTTGATAATCGTATGGTCTGGTGATGGTAAAAAAAAAAAACCAGTTAGTCGACAACGTTTGAAATACTTCAACCATTGGATCACAAAACGGGACGTAAGTTATAAATTCGAATTAAATGATTCGATCTATACAGCCATGCCATTTGAACACGGATCCTTTCCCGGTAACAACAGGAATAGTAGAAAAGTTTCATATCACGAACGTTGTTAACTGATGTGAAATATTGCCTGTTCAACCGTCCCAGTAGCACGGGAATTTTATAATTCAGTGATACCACTACACCGATGACGGGAACACATTTTCACGTCATAACGACCGAACGTGGTGATAAGTCTACAGAGTAATCGCACATATTATTATTATTATTCATAGACATATAAAGATATCAATATATCAGGGGCGTATACAAGGAGGGGTCATATCCCCCCCCGTAGGCACTTTGAAAATTGTATAAAATAGTGTTCTTAATGTTAGGAAATGATAAGGAAACAAAATAATATTGCAAGGATATATATTGTAAATTATTATTTTGACACATTCAATATATATTTATTTTATTATTTATTATTTAAATGTGCAGATACCTACTTAGGTTTAGGAATTTTTTTTTCATAATAATTTGTTTGCAACTGATCTCCCCCCCCCATAAAAAAGTTATGTATATGCCACTGCAATATGTATATGTGTAGGCGTAAACTGGGGTGCAAGGGAGGAGGGAGACAATTGCCCCCTAGAAATAATTAAGAGAGGCAGTACCCCCTCTGACATTTAACATACCTTGTTTTAAAATAAGTACAAAACAGTTAGTTATAGCTATTACAATAACATTTTTTTTTTTTAAATCTTAATTTTAAATTTTCGCTTATCTAACAATAGAAAATTAATAATTTTATATAATAATAAGTAGGTAGTAAAGAGGCAATTAGCCTAGGATACCCTTTTCGTTAGATATGTAATAATATTTTTGCCCCCCTAATAAATTTCCAAGTTACTATGTGTCCATGGCAGCGTTTCTTAAACTGTGTTCCACGGAACCATGGGATTTCGTGAAGATCATTTCAAGGTTCTGCGACGCTTAAGTAATTTTTTTAAAAATGTTTAAGAAAATTACTTTAAAATTTCCAACATAAGGTTAGTAATGGTGAAAAAATGTTAACATTTTAGAAAAAAAATCTTTGTATATTTAAATAGCAATGTATAAGCCGTATGGAATAGTCTAAATTTATATTTAGTCTATTTAAAGTAAATATTATTAAAGTATTTTTATTTTAACATATTTTTCTAATTAAATACCTTTAACACAATATTATTATATGATTATAATTTATTTACAAATAATCCTAAAAAAAGATAAAAAGCTAAAAAAAAATAGGGATTCCATAATAAATGTGGATACCAAAAAGGGTTCAATGGATAAAAAAGTTTAAGAAATTCTGCTCTATGGTATTATGTAAACGGTCAAAACTGACCTTAGGATCCAGGAGAAGAGAAGGGTAAATTGGAAATTAACAAAAAAACGTTACCAAGATACGGATTTTTTTTCGGTATGGAATTTTTTATTTTTATTGTAGTCTTGATTCATGTTAAGAGAATCGCTCTGTATATAAATTCCGTATCTGTAGTACAAATTATATTTTTCCATGTTGATAAGCACTGCGAATTCCCGCCAATTTTACGTTCCATATTTAAGTGCTTTATCCGTAATCTGAACCTCTGAACTCGGAACATGAAAGTTTCAACGTGTCAATAATACTTGAGGGAATGTAATAACTGTTACCCAGCTTTGAATATAGAAAAGTTTTCTTCTCATCTACGGAGGAAATTATAAAATAAATTGTTTTTTTCGTAATTTTTTATTTTTTTTTACTTTGTATTTTCGTAATAATTTTTAAAAGATAAATTTCACCTAATTTGTTTAAGTTTAAATCTGTGTTATTTATTTTATTTCTAAATAAAGTGATTATTATCAAATTATATTTGTTTTATCTACATCTATCTAATATTATCATATTCATTGTGATATTTAATTAACAAAAATCTGATGTTTCAGGATGGATGAACACACATTTCAGAAACCATTTAAGACTTCAACAAATAAAAAACCTACCTCCTCTCACAGCATTCATAGTACAAATAAAAATTCTAATTCAAAGAGTCTTACTAATTCTAACCGTTCTAATAGTAATTCAAATTTAATACCTAATGCAGGCCAACGATCCAAAAGTAATTTAACTACTAAGAATAATGAAATTTCTGATGGACTTAAAAGTAAAAAACAAAATTTATATTATTCCAATTCATGTAAAAATATAAATTAATTATTATTTATTTTGTTGTAGAATTAAACTCAAACATTAATCTTGAAAGGAATGGTAGTATGCCAAATTTAAATACTATTGGTAGTAGAATGCGTGTTGATAAAATTACTAAACTTCGATTTGAATATGATAAATATCTAAGCAGTTTAGAAGCAAAATACACCTTTCAAGTAACTGAAAAAAAAATAACTGCAAATATTAATGAACAAAAAAATATTTTTAGGGAAGAATTTAATTTGCTTAAAGAACAATTAGTAACTCTTACTGAAAAAATAAAATTAATAAGCAAATTAAAAATAGAAAAAGAAAACTTGGACAAAAAATGTGAAGTACTTGAAATGCTCAGTATGTGAATTTTATCTTAGTATTAAAAAAAAATATATTTCTAATAGTAATTTTTATAGATAAAAATACTGCATTTAATGATACGGATGAAGAAATTATGTCATTATTTACTAGTGTAGCATCCAAAGTTATTGTTAACAATTTTAAGCAAATGGATGAAACTGATTTAAGTAAGTTGGCTATATTGAATAACTTTAAAATATCTGGTCGTATATATTTACAATCTTAAATGTAAAATAACGGTTTGATAAAAATGATAACTCCAGTAAAAATTATTAATTGTTACTTTAAAATAAAACTTAACTGATTTACTCTTTGAATTCAATCACTAAACTGATCTTGTGGTTCAAAAACATTCTCAGAACTTTGAGCAGATCCAGGAGGAGGGGGCATTGGAGGAAAGTGCCACTTCTGTTAGAAAAAAATAATATTAAAAATAAAATATATTTGGAAAACTAAATAATTGATAAAAAAAAATAAAAAAATTAACAGTTTTAATACAATATTATCACATTATTTTGATGGAGGTTATGACAATAAGTGGTGATGTTGTAGATGTTGTCGAGAACTTTAAATATTCAGGATCATTTGAACAAGAGGATGGGGGTTTCGACATGGATGTAAAACATAGGATTAGGTACGGTTGGATGAAATGGAAAGAAGTGTTGGGCATTTTATGCGACAAGAGAATTCCTGATAAGGTTAATTTTACAAGAGTGAGACCAAGTGCTTAAAATGCTTAGATGGATGAGTGGAGTGACAAAAGAAGATAGAATAAAGAATGAATATGTGAGAGGTAGTACTGGTGTAGCATCAATAGTGGACAAGATGAGAGAATAGACTAAGATGGTTTGGGCATGTGATGAGACAAAAGGAAATAAATGCAATAAGAATTGTTATGAAAATGATCGTTGAAGGGAATAGAGGAAGACCAAAAAAGAGATGGTTGGAAAAATCGAGACGAGTTGAGGTTTAGGACAAGGGTGGTCGAACCTAAATAGTCAAGAGATAGGCAAAAGAGAATAAGAAAAAATGTTGATGGGAGTCCAAGCACCCTCCCCCCCCATGACATCCCTAAATATGTGTATGATCAACTATATTAAATAATTTCTTGTTTAAAATGTCCCGAATGTAAATAGATGCTGGATCTGCCCTTGTTCAAATCCATCCAAATAAATATCATATGTTAAAAGCCTTAAGAGTTCTAGAGAATTAATAAAATAATTTATTGATTTTGATTTTCTCAACATTGGATTAATATGAAATGCAATATGCAGTATGATTATTAATGTACATTTTTTTCATTTTGCAGATACTGTTAAAGTTTTAATGGAAGAGATAATAGAACCATTAAAGTTAATTGATTATGAAAATAAAACCAAAACACGTATTATACTTAAAGATTTATTAATCAATATGACAATGTTAACTAAAGAGTTAGATAATTATAAGTTGAAGTAAGAAAAAAGTTTGTTTAATAAATTATTGATATTAAAATATATTCAGTGTGCATAATTAAATTATATAAATGTACAAGTATGTACAAAAAATTATTAAATTTATGTGTATTTTAGATTAAAAATAAAATTTTTTGTAGTCGATTTTTCTTACAATAATAATAGTTTCAATTAAAATCTAACTTTATTTTATTTTTCAAGATGTGAAGAATTATTTGTTAAGCAAGAGAACCTGCAAAATTACAATACATCAATGCAGATACTGAAAGATCAGTTTGGTGAAAATTCAGATACTACTTTACCACCCACTATGAATAATCTTATTGAGAATATTAAAAAGGTATTAAATGAAGAAAAATAGCAAATTTTATGTTTTATAGTTAAACTAAATATAATGTGTGATATAAAGTTTAGTCTAAGTCATGTAATTCATATATATTTGATGTCAACATTTTAAATTTATCTTATTTTTAATTTTAGTCAATAGTAAACAGCATTATTTTGTATTATAATATTATTTTTCCTTATTAGTTGTATCATTGAATGTAATATATGTATATATTCTTTGATTGTCATTATTATAACAAAATGCTATAAGATAATTATTAATTGTTTACAATTATTTGTAAAATGTAAATATATAACTAATAACTTCACATTTTTAAAACCTTTTTCTAAGAATTTTTGTTCTTTCTTTTATCTATCTATTTAGCTTTGATCTTACACTTATTTACAACTCATTAATTAGACTAATTGATATATGTAATTACTAATTTATATTATAATATTTACTATTAGACTACAATTATATGCCAAAAAGACCCATAGTTGAAAAAGTAGAATTTGGAGCTTAAAAAAGAAATGAAATCAATACTCAAATTCTGTGCCTCAACTTGAAAAAATATCAGTTCACAAAAATTTCAAGTTATTCGACTGTATAAACATTGAAAAAAAAAATTAGCACAGGATGTCGGGAATTATAGATTGTCGACAAAAATTTGAGTCTTTCAGATTAACTCAGAAACTCCGATTTCTTATACACTGTTCTATGCTAATTTGTTTTCTTAGTATATTTATTTTATTAGTATAAGATCTATTGTTATAACCAGGGCTCGGAAGTTGTAGCACTACAAATTTTACTTTTTAGCTCTTAAATATACACTTAAAAACTAAGATATGCGCGAAAAAAAAATATGCATTTAACTTGAAAATTTACTAGAAAAAAATGTAATGTAATTTTACAAATTATTGGGGTCATAGATGTCTGGACTGGTTGAATTATAAACTGTTGACAGAAATTTTAAATTGATTAAATATATTTGTAAAAGTGTACTTATAATTATATTATTTTATATAAAATTGGAAATTACTCTGGATTATTAAAATGTTTGATAAAATGCAATGATACAATTAGCATAGGTGTGCGCAGGATTTTGTATCGGGTGCAGCATACATTTTTAACCGGCCCTAAAGAACAATAACAGCCCACTTATTTCCTTTATATAGCATCTCCCCCCCCCCCCCCGGAATTCTTTTTAGCCCCACTGTGTAAAAATTGAATATTTTATAACTTCATATAATCACTTTTGTACCCAAATGATTATATGGTATATCCCTGCCACTATATAGATTCATCACTCTATAACTAACCTATTATAGTTATAAGAAATATAGTAAACTGTAAATAAAAAGTAATAATATTTTTATAAAATTTAGTATATTCATTTATACTTTTATAAATATATTTAACATCACATATGTAATTAATTACACTACTCAGACTGCAGTAACAGTGAAAAATCGTTATTCAATTACAAACATAATAGTCGATTCGGTTATGTGATTACTGATTAGGTACTAATTATGGCATCTATTCCGTTTTCGTATCACTGCACGTCTGGTTGAATGGTTAATGCGCTATTGTCATTGTGGTTGTGTCTGTATTTGTATACTGTATAATCTAGTGTGTAGGCACGTCGAATTTACCCAATAATATAATAACACACAGAAAATGCACAGTCTTTAGTTCTTCAAAAAGGTAAAAAGAGAAAATACATTGATGAATATGTAAAATATGGATTTTCATATGTAGGAGATTTTGACTATACTAAACCTAAGTGTATTGTGTGTGGTGAAGTATTTTCGAATAGCTGCATGAAACCTTTTCTACTCTTAAGACATTTAGAAACAAAACATGCCGATTATAAAAATAAAGAATGTGATTTTTTTAAACGTTTAGCTAGAAATAATGAGAATACGTCGATTTTGACATCATATATAAAGCCAGCTAATAAAGATAACCAAAACGCGATTGAAGATAGTTATCGTATTGCAAAATGTGGTAAGAATCATACAATAGCTGAAAATTTGATTTCTCCTTGTACAAAAGATACCGTTCAGTGTATGTTTGGAGAACGTAAAAAAGATAAACAGTATTCCTCTTTCAAATAATATAATTTCTCGTCGAATTCAAGATATGTTTGAAGATATTGAGTTGACAGTAATAGATAGAATAAATAAAAGTAAAATTTTCGCTATTCAAGTTGATGAAAGCACCGATGTTACCAATTTCGCAGTTTTACTTGTTATTGCAAGGTATTTAAATAATAATGAAATCGAAGAAAATGTTTTGCTTTGTCATTTATTGTCTGAACGCACAACTGGTGAAGATATATTCAATGTTATTGATTGTTATTTAAAAAAAAATGAGTATTTATTGGTCCAATTGTTGTGGACTATGTACCGATGGTGGAAAGTCAATGTCGGGTATATATTCTGGTCTTCGAGGTTGCGTTATGAAAATAGTTCCTAATATAAACTGGAGTCATTGTTGTATTCATTTAGCATCTAAAAAACCTTCCAAGAGAACTAAAACTCGTTCTTGATGAAGCTGTTAAATTAGTTAATTTTATAAAAGCAAGGTCTACAAATTCGAGAATATTTAAAGCTATATGCGAAGACATGATGAGTCCTCATTCAAGTTTACTTTTTCACACAGAAGTTAGGTGGCTATCCCGTGGCAAGGTACTTGCACATTTATTTGAACTAAGACATGAGGTCCAAATATTTTTTTGAAGATCATTCTTTTCAATTATATCCAAAATTACACGACTGCAATTGGCTTCAGGCGCTTGCGTATTTATCTGATATTTGTTTACAAATAAACAATTTAAATTTGGCACTTCAAAAAAATTCAATAATGATTTTTAGTGTTTCGGATAAAATTAAATCAATTCTTAAAAAATAGATTTTTGGAGGGTATGTATTGAAAATGACCAACCTGAGGTATTTGAACGTTACACAATTTTCTATCTGAAAATAAACTAGTTATGTCTCGGTAAATTAAGAAAAACATAATTGAACATCTGGAAGTGTTAAAATTATCGTTCAAAAAAATACTTTTCCAAACCTGAAAAAGAAAACAATTGGATTTCAAATCCTTTTAATGAAGAATTCTTTCAAAAAGCGTCATCTTTATCGATCGTAGAAAAAGAAAACTTGATAGAACTTTCATGTGACACGACTTTAAAAAGTGAGTTTAAAAGAAAAAAAACTTTTTAATTTTTGGGTAGATATTAGAAACGAATATGAGCGACTCTCTGACAAGGCAATTGAGTTCCTATTGCCATTTACTAGTACGGAGTTGGTCGAAAGAGCGTTTTCTTCATATATATTTATTAAAAATAAGTATAGAAATAAACTTAATGCAGCTCCAGATTTACGATTATACCTCGCATCATTTGAACCTGATATTAAAAAACTATGTAATTTGAAATAAGGTCAAGGATCTCACTAATTATTTTCATTTAAATTTTTTGTTTATTAAATAAGTAAAATAAGTAATTTTTTTATGTGTCTTATTACTCAATATAGAAATATATACATTATTACATTATATTATATTATTGTTATTTTTAATTAAATGTTTTAAGAGTGGTTTTGTAAAAAATTTTTAAAAATATAAAGAGGGGTACAATTTAGAAAAATATTAAGCTTAGAGGTACAGAAGGAAAAAAAGGTTGAGAACCGCTGCTTTAATACATAGACTTCTATACTAACTTGATAAACTACTCACCGAATTTATCATCGATATAATGATGAAATCTGGCAGAAGTGCTCTTATCATACATCCACCAAATTTTCGGTCGGCAAAAAAAATATTAAATACTTGCTGATTACTATTCTAACTATTTCTTCAATAAATAAGATTTAAATAAATGAGAAGACATAAAAGTTAAATATAATTATATAAAATACAAATACTGTATTTTTCACGAAATAAACATTATTAACAAATTAGTTTAAAATTAAAACATATAGTACCCATAACAAATTATAAAATACAACTTATTTGGTTAATTTATGTCGTTTACTAACAACATTTGAAGTTTTTGCTTTAGCAACATGATAAAGTTGCATTTATAAATATTTTTACAGATTACTATTACCTATTACTAAACATAATCTATGATTTTTTTAAATGAATTATTGGATCGTGTCATATTTTGTAGAATACTGAAATTATAACAATCATTCTCGGCCGAGATTATTATTTTTACAGATAAACCAGATATAATAGAAGCAAAATAACAGGTCAGTTCGAATAACAAATTCTCAATGTATTTAAGTCATTTAAAAACACTATTAGAACTCTTTAATAATCCTCCTCTATTTTTTACATCAATTAATATGGAATAAAAATATTTATGACTATAGTTTAGTTCACTTTATGTAATAAAGAATATTATCTTTCACTAGCATAACCAAGATTTTAAAATGGAGGGGGCCAAACCCAAAATACTAAAAAAAACATAATCAACAATTAACAATAAGTTTGTTAATATAGTAATTTTTATAATTTATTTTTACCAAAAATCAAAACAAACAATTGGTTGTAGTTAACGCAAGCTTTTGTGTAAACATTCTTTTTGATTGACCACTAAAGTGCCATGATATTTTTCATTGATTTCTACATGTTCTTCGATGACATTACCAATATCGATTATCATAACTTCAAATTTTGCTTTTGCTTTATTAACATTTTCTTTTTTACCAACAATAGTTATATTTTCATTAGTGGAATCAGTTTCAGGCGGGAAAATTATTCTTGTATTCGTTAAATGTCTGATCTGGAATCCAAGTATTAAACCATAAATGAACACATTGTACCCCCTTATATTAAATTATTTTAACAACATACCTTTTTAACATTGACTCCATTTGTTCCAATTAAATATTTGTGAAACTTCGGATTTACTTTCAAATCAATCACATATTTATGAAATTCATCAACCATTGTCTGAATTTGTGTAATAACATTTTTAACATCATCTTCAGGTCCTTTGATAACTATAGTCTATGAATAAAAGTTTATCTTTAAAATAACGGTTTACTATTTTTTTAATAGATTTTAGCATTTGGGAAATTTTCTTGAAAATTTACTTATTGTATTAGGGGAGGAGAAAGAGTTTCATCTCTTGAGACAATCGTTTCCTGCTCAAAGAGAGAAACTGCCAGAGGCCAGGTTCGAATCGATGTCTAAGCGTATATCACGCATATAATAACTTATAAAATTGGTTAAATTGTCATTTTAATTTATAAGTTTAATAAATAAGTATATTCTTACATTATCTCCTTTAACAGTTGGTAAATTCAATGTCACATTATCCCCACAATCTTCTTTTATAGATTGAATGAATTTATTCCCAAGATTTACAATGACATTTCTAACTTTAACATTTCCCAACACCATTTCCTTTGTTATTATATTTCCCTAAAAATACATGATTGATAAATTAAAAATAAAATTGAAAAATAAATAATCTTTATAAAAAACCAACAATTTCATTTTGTATTTCTTTAATCATATCATAAGCGATTAAAACTTTTCTTTTATTTCCCATGACTTTAATAACATCCTTATTGTCTCCTTCACGTGGAAAAAAAATTCTCGTATCAGTCTCTTCTCTAATCTACAATATTAAATTATATAAATAACAATATTTCTAAAGGTCGAATCACAAAAGTTAATAAATAATAATTACTTTTTTAATAAATATTGCTCTCTTTCCAGCACTAAGTTTGAGAAATTGTTTAAAAATAGGAATTTCCAACACATAGTTGATTTCATCCAATACTTCGGCCAATTCAGCTAATGATTTAAATGCTTTACTTACATCATCGTTTAAACCTTGTATTTTAACTAAATTATTTCTAGCCTCAACTAAAATATCGAACCAAATATTATTTATAAACTCTCAAAATACAAAAAATACAAACATATTAATACTATTAATACTATTAATTACCTGGACTGGGGAATAAAATTTTAACATTAAATATTTTCTGAAGTTCTCGAACTTTTTCACCATTGAATCCAATTATCGCTCCGTGGTGACGTTGATCAATTGTAATTTCTTTTTCAATTTTACTTTTCAACTTAATTATAATTTCCTCCAATTCCTAACAAAAATTTTAATTATTAAAAAATTA